GCCTCAAGAAGCGCCGAGATTAACGACCTTGATTATCTGCTGTGAACCGTAGCTAGCAGCCGGCTCATCGGTCGAAACGTATACTCATGTTACTCAACAGTGGTAGCAGTCGTTTTACAAGGATGGGGCCAAATGGAACATTGGCGGCAGCTATCCTCAGACTGCCACGTTCTTCACACCCGAGATCAGCAGAGTCTCCTAGATTGGTGGCTACCAAATTTAAATACATGGAGCTTCTATCCATAGTATTGCAAACGTGGTATGCAATTTGAGGTAACGACTGGGACATTAACCGTAGCGAAGGCAGACCCTTGAACACCGCGACAACAATAACTGACAGTCCCTGTCCTTGCTAAGGTCACCATTGGCGTGAATGGACACGACGGCCTCTAAACTGACCTTGATTGGATAACAGCCTCAGAAACCAATGTGTTAAGAAGCCTGGATAGGCCGGTTCCATCGAAACTGTACGGCCAGTAACAACTATACCGTTACACGCAACCGTCCGGAACCCCCCACCTTTGAAACACTCTCTGTCGTGAGAAGTATTTCGCAGTGTTTTTGTGGTAATGTGAGGGGACTTTGAAGTAAGTTGGCGGAAATAAAATGTCTCTGTTCCCACAATACCCGGAAGATTATAATCCTGACAAAAACCTGATTATCGCCAGATATTAGTGACATGGAGGCTGGTGTAGGCTGCATGCGTCAGCTCAGCCGACAAAGCGAACACATGGATAGGGGAAGGACTAACAATATCCGTGAGTGACCATCTCAAACGTGAACAAATAGAGGTAACTGCGTTTTCAGAGCTCTTAGACCCCATCTGGCGCCACTTCACGGTCGAAAACACTAGGTATCTGGCAGCGAGGTCTATCGAACCCTTGCTTGCAACGTTGAGCAGACTCAACAACTGTTTCAAATAACATCTTCGGTGACAACTACGAAGTATGAAAAGGTCATAAAGAGGGCAATTTTAATGCCACATCATCCAACCTTAGGAGGGAAGTGGCAACCTCAAACAGGACATTCGGTCTACCCACGTAACATCATAAAAAAGGCTGGGCTATATGATAGCACTAGCGATGACACTTGCTAGGAGGCTGGCAGTAAAGCGTCCAGATCGAACCATTTTCTTACCGGCTACCATCAGGTGGCGGAAAACATTTGGCTTCTAACCGCTGTAGGCATTAGTGATCACAGCATGGTAGAACTTGATCTAATAATCGATGAACAATTATCAGATGAAAGGTCTCGCCTTTGTCAAGACAAACTGCACGACGGCGAGCCGCCACCTGCAAACAGTATCGTGATCCCGGCAGTAGCTGCCTTATCGATCGGCCAGCCCTGGGAACAAGTGAGGGATATCATTAAAAGGGTCATTTTTGAAAACGCCCCTGTGGTCACAACAATGCCAACGAAGCCAACATCATGGCTGAAATGATGCATTGTGCGCCTCTTGAAAGGCAGAAGAAAAGCGCGGTGTTACCCGGGATCTCCAGAAAAGGGTCAGATCGCAGCGCTTAAATTGCTCTACGGAATCTGTCCAACATCAAGATGATTGGGCACAGGGGTCATTTTGGGCAAACCATGCTCACAAACTTGGAGTGAACCAGAGAAGCCTATGTCGATTGGGCGCAGAGAAACACCGCTTACCAGTTAGCTTGCTTTACGAAAGTCCTAAGCAGACAGAACCTATCTGAACTGCTGGAACATATAGCGCCATACCCGACACGACAGAATGTTCCGTCATCCAAACAAAGTTACCAACTACCTGGGAAACCTTCAGCTCTACTTAATGTGGTAGAGTCGCATGGAGCAAAGGTAAGCCCCACAATAATCCCAGAAAAAGTTCGAGGCTCCGCATAGGAAAATCCCTGGGGAGCGATGACATTCGGTCGTTTGTATTGGAGCAGCTGTGCGGGTGCCTAATGCTGTCAGACCTGTAGTCTGCTTCGGCACTCCTCAGACAAACATATCCCCATGAGGTTGGAAAGGTGTCATTCTGTGTTACCTTTAAAGGAGGAAACGGGCAGAACCCGAAAAGATATCGACCGATGGCGCTTCTTCCACCAGTGTTGTCTAAGGTAGTGAAGAGCCTAGTAGGCAGCTATATAAGAGAATACTTGGACCAAAAGAAGTGCTTGGTGCCATTCAATACAGCTTCCGATAGGGTAGGTCCTGTACTTCAAGACTTCCAGGAGCCTTGATAACTGGGAGGTGTTCTGGGACCACCTAGTTCCTGCTCATTTGGCTTTCCTGGCTTGCTCCAGGGCCATTAACGCAGCCTCACATGCCAATCTCACACACGTAGTAGCCTGGTTAGGCGTCACTGGTCAGGTGCACTTTCGGCTGCAGGGCTATTTAGGTAGCAGAGAATCCTGCACAAAAGTCGAGAGTTTGCTCTGCTTGGAAGACACAATCATCTGGAGCGATTTCGGGTCCACCGCTGTTCCCTCCTTTTGAGACGGGCCTCCCAATGAGTCACAGATCCTCGATTTTACTTCACTCGGATGACATTGAGTTATGAGATGTGACATCCGAAGCAGAATCAAGTCCACCACAAAGTGATCTCAGACCGCTTTCAGAGTGGATGAATAACAACGGACCAACATTTAACTCGAATAAATGCCGAACCACTTTTCAGCATTCCCTACCGGCTTAAAGTATACCATTCTTTCTGTGGCGCTCACCTTTCCCACAGGATCACGGAGGAAGACCTGAAAGCAATACTGACTGTCAAGTGCTCCAACTATCTGGGAAATGACTATGCAGCACCTTGTGCAGCGGAAACTAGGTGCCCTCACTCCAGAACTCTTCCCGAAGCAGAACAAAATCAATTTGAGGTTCACAACGTCATTGCACCGACATGCCTGAAGAGAGATGCGAACCTCCCGGAGAAAGTTTAGGGGTGAGTAACGGAGGATGTTGTGAGAGTGAGGCCAGAACATCATGAGGACAAACTGAAAAACCTATGGCTACGATCTCTTGGGTTACGTGGGAACCTGGTGGTGGCTTTCAAAGCGCTAAATAATCCTGATCACCAGAACAGCGGAATCCCACCGGACAGCCACTGTGATAATCCTCATGGTAATATGAGGGGATTGACCCATCAGAGGGCGATAGCCCGTGCGAGCTGACACTTTTTCGCTCTACCAGCTAGTGGCCACTGGAACACATTGTCTGCCAGGATCACTACTGCTCCGTCCGTCGACAACTTCAGCCAAGAGGCTGAACAGCTACGCAGAGACTTACGGGTGACGCTCAACCAAACATAATACGGATCGTGAAAATACAACCAACTAGACCCGCATAATTCAGCACAGTCAACCCTGTGCTGAATCTTCTCTGCTACCAGTACTGTCATGAACTTAACCTCATACTTCCTTGATATACGTCTCACCTCTAGTTAGTATATCCCTACTAATAACGTTACCTTTTCTATTCCCATAGTCCCTCCGATAATCTTAGTTGCTGCTTCTCCCCCTTCTGACTCTGTATTCTCGCCATATTCATCGAGGTTTTCCTATCGCCGTTATCTTTCATGGATCCACCTAGGGCTTTCCCTCCCATTCGTTCCGCTTCATCTTCAGCTTGTTTTTCGCACTTCCTCTCCCTTGTTTTCACCGGACATCTTCCACAGTCCCCACTTTATTCTACACCCAGTCCAATCGGCTGTCTTATGATGCGAGATCCGAGGAAGGTATCTGCATCACAATCGTTGCAAAAGTCCTATAACCCCTACGAATGTAATCAACACCCAACCACCCACCTGGCTAATCAGATGTACACCAGGCAAGTGGATAGGTCTACTGCATCAGAATTTACTAAAGACTTGAAACCGTTGCACAAAACCTAGAAATAAGTGCACAGAAACCAACTGGTTTAAACTATAAACCGTAAAAAATACTGGATATTGGTTCACACCTGCCCATACCACAGTAGAAAAAGACCTGGGTTTAACGGTGACGGAGAAACTGGACACCAGTTCCAATTACCCAGGCGATGTCTCAAAAGCACATGGGTTACTACACTTTGTGCGTAGACAACTGGGTGCCCTTGCCCCAGAACTCTTTCTGAAGCTCTACGAGACTTACATACGGCCCCGCTTAGAGGTCCATAACGTCCTCGCCCCATCACAGCTGAAAAGAGGCACGAACTTACTGGAGAAAGTCCAGAGCCGAGCCAAAAAGGGGGTTGTTGGAATGCAACGAAAACCATATGAGGATAGACTCAAAGACCTAGGTCTATGCTACCTTAGCTATCTAGGGATACGTGGCGACTTAATAATGGCTTACAAAACGATGAGTAACCCAAGTCACCCAAACAGAGGAGTCCTACCAAGTGGCTACTACGGAGATCCTCGAGGAAACTCCAACAGAATAGCACACCAGAGGTCAAAAAAGCATGTGCGCTCTCAGTTCTTCTCCCTCCGAGTCTGTGGGTACTGGAACGCACTACCAGCAGAGGCGGTCTCCGCCCCAGCTGTTGAAAGCTTCAAGAAGAGGCTAGACAGTCATGCGGAGACTCACGGTCTACCGACGCATAGCTGGAACACGAGGTGATGTCAAGCCACCCCAACCAGTTTTCTTTCTATTGTAACCATTTAAGCCCTTTTCACCCCTTCCACTTACCTAAGTTCTCCATACCTTTGCACCCCTACTCACCTTACTCGGGTGTAAGTAGATTACTCCATTAGTTCACTTTTCCTCTTTTCTTTCACTCACGCAAACACTTTCTAGGTCTTCTCTTCACTATCCCCAACCCCCTCTAGCGACCAGTCCTAACGACTGTCTGGCAACTCGACATCTGAAGAAGCCTACTGCACCACAGTCCAAGGCAAACAAACCAACGCTTAACTTCCTGTTCTGTAAACCAGAGCTACAGCAGACGAGTGGCTGGACCTACTGCATCGGAGTCAGCCAAAGATCTGGAGTCGTTCCGCAAGACCAAGAAGCTAGCGCGAAGAAATCAACTGATTTACACTAGCTCGTTAAAAAGATGTTGGATATTGGACATTGGAAATGGCGCTAACACTGAGACAACTTTCGAAGGCCGCAGATGTTTTGTATTTCCGTCAGTGTACTCAGGTTTCTTCAGCCAGGGTATATATCACTTTGGTCGTAATGATGTACATATAGAAGTGCAAAATGCCACGTCTATCTGAGTCTGAACGCGAACAGCTATTAACCCCCTTAGTGAATAATCATAAATGGGAACTATGCTCTGAACATCGCTCCGGAGATGCTATGCGACGCTCTTTTACATTCAAAAACTTTGATGTTGCATTTGACTTTATGACAAAAGTAGCAGAGAAGGCTAAAACTATGAACCATCACCCTGAGTGGTTTAATGTGTACAACAAGGTATGTTTATTGCGACTGTACCCAACATTTAATTGATGATTATCCTAAATGATTGTTTCTGTGCTCCATAAGTGGCTGTTCTTTTTGATGGAGTTTTAAGAAGTGTGCTGGGGTCTTACCACACAAAGACTATACGTCAGCTCTACTTCAAAATGATTTCATTGTTAACATTGTACGCCTAGATAAATTTTGGCTCTGCATGTAGTGTGTGCACCAGTCATATTACTAACCCGCCTTAGTAACTGATGACAAGATATACTACATCATTTCGTATTTCCGCTTGATTTCACAAGCGAGAAGTGAGTAGGATGTCTGTAACTTCATGTTATGCGTCTTCAGCGTCTATATCCCACCTCTGCTAAATGACGAACTTTAGTGTAATATACTCAAAGTCGAATGAATCCTCAGCTTCATAAGTCATAATTTTGCCTTAGTAGTGAAGGATTATCTATAGCTAAACTACTAAGATTGACTCAGCTCACTGAATAAATGACTTGTCAAGTTCTTGGTTGTATTGCTTTCTCTCATTTGGGTTGTTTAGTGGTGAGACTTTTTATTGTCTCTCTGGACATCATTGTCGACGGAACTCAGAGGGCATCATATAGCCACCTATCTGAGCTACATTTATTCCCCATCACTCTTAAAGTTACCCAGTGACTTCATTCTCACTTTTTAAAACATGCAGTACTACAAACAAATCGTAGAATTTCATGTCAGGCCTCTTCAACTTTTCTCTTACAGCATCTTAATGGTTATTTTTTAACTAGTGAGACTAAGTCAGTTACTTCAAAGCTTAGTATTGTTTCTTGAATCTCATTCACGCATTTTCGATCTTCTGCTTAAGCTGCTAGTGATGACTTGTCCTTAGCATCTCATGTGTTTCTTGCTTATACAATCGGTTTTTATATAACCTTTGTCACTTCACTTAGCGAATAACACATTCTCAATGTTGACCACTTCAGATTTTTTAGGCGGAAAGATTGACATTCTGTGCATATTAGTATTTAGTATATAGTGTCTTCTTCCGATGGTATTCAATTACCAACTAACTGTAGTTTAAAATGGTGTTTTCACTTGACTTAATGATAAAACTGACGGGTAGCATTTATTCTTTGGTGGAAACTAAACATGACAATACTTTCTTATCAATTAAATAGAATAAGGATATAGGGTATTCAACCACAAAAACAGCTAGAATATTAAAATCCTTTCATGGGAAACCTTTATTTCGTTGTTTTGAATGAATGATAGCCTTTTTGATAAGTAGGAACTAGCGCAGATTGCTCGAAAGTAATCCGTAGCTAAATAGATTGTTATCGGCCTAAGAAGCAGATTAATCAGGTCATTTGTGATACTGAGTTGATCTTGGATTTATGGGAAAAGTTTGTAGCTCCAGAAGAAACGTAATGGTACTTTCGTGTTCCCTAACTTGTAGCATTGTGTTGTAGATATTTCCCCTTGGACTTAATGCTAATAGTCTCGTCAAGTCTAGTCATGAAACATTCACTACAAAATATCCCAGTTCAGAGAACCAAACCATCTTAATTTGAATCTTCCTTTATTCTAACATTTAGTCAAAGTGTTGAGATTGTAAAGGCCGCTGCCATCTGGATTCAAATTGATTTATTCCATTCAGGTGTCTACAACGAAATCTTATGTTAGTTTACGGTTTAATGATAGATACCTTGTATTAATGTCACTACTCAGTAAAAGTCTGGTAATCACTTTCTTTTGATTTACTTTACTAGGTGGATATACTACTTACTACACATGATGCAGGAGGTCTTTCTCAGAAAGATGTTGATCTTGCCAAATATATCACCGATGCAGCGACCGAATACCAAGGAAAATGACCAGCATATAGATCATTAGATATCTTATAAGGTTGATGTCTGAATAAACAAATTTTTTCGCACTGCAATATCTTTTACACTTCTACGCCTTACTGTATAGTTACTAATTGAAATACATTTCAGTTCACTTATGTTACTGATAAGTTACCAAGTTTGATAGGTACATGGTTCAAATGCTGTTTAGGTCCTTGAAGTTGTACATGCAGTTGGAACTGATTGACATGAAATATCAGTTTTAGGACCTTGTCTTTAGTAAGTGAATCCAGCGTAGTCGAATCGAAATGCATCAGAAACCTTGTGGTCGTCCATACAGTAGGCAGTGAGCCGCACCCATTGTGTGAGGGCTAATGACACTATCTAGCTGCCCAAATCTTGGAAGATGAAGCGGTGACAATGGTTGAAAGTCGACTTCTTAGACTGATGTGAAAAATAAGCAACCTTTTATAGAATGTTAGAGCGCCTTTCTTATTGAGAATATTTGTTTCGAATTAAAATGAAGTTTGAACCTTGTTAGCTACTGGAGCTTGTAGCTCAATTGGTAGAGTACGAGGTCGGTAACCCAGATGTTGCTGGTTCGAATGTCAGATGACATACTCCTGTTAAGTGAAGACACTGAAAAGACGCAGAGTCTTCTGAACACTGAGTGGCAATTTGAAGATGTTTGGGATGCGTTTCTCACCACCCAAATGCAAATTGTTGCTCCAGGATTGGTCTTCAACAGTGCTCAACTACGGCTAACGATAGAGAGTGAAGTGGTTGATTGTGTTGACCACTTCACTTACGTGGGAAGTGGGATCAGCCGTGTCCTGGTCGGTCAGTGGCCGATGAAATCTCTGCACGCATATAAAACGCTCGACTGGCTTTCGCTAACTTACGCCACCTAAGGGGCCGCCATGATATCCGATTGTCTGTGAAGGGTGGCGTGTAGTGCACCTGCACATCAGTCCGTTCTGTTCTACACTATGGCTGTGAAACATGGCCATTGAAGGTGGAAGACATGAGAAGGCTGGCTTCAGGTGTTTGACCACCGTTGCCTTCGAAGTACAGGTCGTATTCCGTGGTGTCACTGCTTGAGTAACACAGAACTCGGATGTGGAGTTTTAGGGAGTAGAGGTAAATCAGTTGACGAAGTTATGAACCTCCATCGACTGGGATGGTTGGGACACGTACTACGTATGTCTAGTCACCGATTGCCTTGTCACACAATGTTGGGTGAAGTAGCTTCAGGCTGGAAAAAGGCCTAAGGTGGCCAGACTAAAACATGGCACTAATGCATGAATTCTTTGACTGTTGGTTTGAGCCATGTGGGGCGATGCAGACTAGGTGGTTGGGGTCCATGGAACAAGAGGAACCAGTGGTTGGAGACTCTAGGGGATATGGCTCAGAAGCGATGTGAGTGGCGCAGATGTATCCCCACACACATCCTCACCTTAACGACCCTATACCGAATCTCACCATTTTTTCATTCTTCGTTTCTCTTTCTTCATACTTTATATTCCTTTTGACTGCATTCTCTTATCTTCACCTTGCACCTCACTGCCTTTTTTACTTGGTGTATTGATATGAGGTGTGGCAACTTGGACCGTCACACAGTAATGCCTGGTCCTAGGTTGATCTAGTTGGATGGTTCATATGCTGCCTCGAAACTGGTTTTTATTTCACCTTCAATCGTCACTTGGTACCATTTTTGAAGAACTGTCGTTTAATAACCTGAAAATTAGGTAGATAAATAAAGTCAGAATCTTAAGAACTTCAAATAGAGCTACCCTTTCCTATTTGACTAGTACACATGGTATGTTCTTGTCTTCGTGTTGACGGTCTTCAGCTCTATAGTATTCAAGTGTTGCAAACTGTCATATTCATTCATTTACGTCCATTCGTTGAATTACTTCGATTGATGGATACATTTTACTTAACGTAATCATTGAATCTTTCGAAGAAGACTGCTCGTCTATGAGGATGCTAATAGAGTACGATTGAAATCTGAAGTGAAAAATTGAGCGTAGTAGAGCTGTTTATAGAAAACTTTCACCAGTGAGGATCTCGGTGACTAGCAGAGGAGTCTAGGACGCATGTTTCTTCCCATTTTTGACTGGTCAGTTGTCCATGACCTCACTGGCCTAGTTGGTAAACCTTTAGCGCTTGAAGCGATCGGTCTCGGTCGAAGCTTCCTGTCTTTTCAAACAATGTTACGTTGAAAGTCAGACATGATTCCTGAAAGGTCTATACTACTGAACAATCTGATTAGTTCTAAACCACTCACACTAATCTGTAGATTTCCCCGGTCAGATATCAGAGTCATCTAAACACCGCATGGCTGGTTCGCTCGTTTGGAGCCGAACCAGCTCATCAGCGGCGTTCCCGATGACATTCTTCTCATGGTGATTCCACTAATCATAAGGAACGATACGTAGACACCCTTGGTCCAAAACCTTTAACCCCTTTACACCTTATTTCAATAAACATGTCTCACAGCCATACAAGAGAAGAGAGAGGATTGTTGCTCAGCATACTCGTCCTCAACTAGATAGTCGAATGTCTTGCAATTTGGCTGGTACAGTGCTGACCTTTTCAATTTGAGCTGAGATTCTGTCAACAAACAAGCCATTACGATTGATGCAACTTCCGACTTAAGTGAAGTGACGCTTTTCATTCTACCAGCGTTGTCTTTCTAGCATTGCCTGTGTGTTGATAAAACACCACGTCATTAACAAAGAAGTTAAGTAGAAAAGATAAGTCAGTTAATAAATGTAGACCATTTGAAAGGTGGTCCATTAGGTTCTAGAATGACGCCTTAGATACGGTTGAGAAGAATTCATCATGGACAAATAATCACAACAACTTTCTTAAGTACAAGGTCCATCAACCAGTCGCACCGAAATCCAACACCTCATATGCTTGATGTAAGTCTGATTTTGGGTGATGAAATCAGGTATTGGTTGATTTTAGCCAGATCTTTGTGAAATATGATACAAAGAATCCGTTTGAGTTTACCTTATCGTATTCGGTAGCAAAATAACTATTTAGTGGAAGAAATGTTAGTAGAAATTTTTTGTTATCAGTGAAACTTCCGATGAAATCATGGGCAGATAAGTTACACTTCTCTGTTAAAGATACACATACGAAGTAAGTTGCATCAAAATTGTCTCTCAGTCCTGAATCTCATATTTTCAGTCAGCGCCCAAAGTAAAAAATGAAACAGAAGAATAAATGGATGGAAATCATGATATCGACGGTCATAAACAACTAAGCAAAGAAGACGAAGGAAACAAGGTATCTTGGGGAAAATGGTAGATGCATGACCAAGGTTTATCGTAAGATGAGGCGTAGATGCATCCGTGTTACCATAGGCGATTTTCAGTCATACTGTCAAAAGTTTCTACGTGTTGATGTTGTTAGTCAGAAAGTCTATATTTCTGTCGATGGTTCAGACACTTTACGCATCGGTAAAATGTCGTTATCTGATCACCATGAAGTTGCTTCGATCTTTCTGTAACAAACACAGCGTATTGAGGGAAGCAGTGGTTGACTTCAGATAACACGTTAATGCATCATAGTAGACTAACGCATTTTCATATGGTACTCGTCATATCACCTTGAACGGGCTAGTTGCTGACAAGATCCGAGCTCGGATATAAAAGGCCCGTTTGGCCTTCCATCATCATCATCCAAATCAACATAGGACCAGGCATTACTGTGTGACGGTCCAAGTTGCCACACCTCATATCAATACACCAAGTAAAAAAGGCAGTGAGGTGCAAGGTGAAGATAAGAGAATGCAGTCAAAAGGAATATAAAGTATGAAGAAAGAGAAACGAAGAATGAAAAAATGGTGAGATTCGGTATAGGGTCGTTAAGGTGAGGATGTGTGTGGGGATACATCTGCGCCACTCACATCGCTTCTGAGCCATATCCCCTAGAGTCTCCAACCACTGGTTCCTCTTGTTCCATGGACCCCAACCACCTAGTCTGCATCGCCCCACATGGCTCAAACCAACAGTCAAAGAATTCATGCATTAGTGCCATGTTTTAGTCTGGCCACCTTAGGCCTTTTTCCAGCCTGAAGCTACTTCACCCAACATTGTGTGACAAGGCAATCGGTGACTAGACATACGTAGTACGTGTCCCAACCATCCCAGTCGATGGAGGTTCATAACTTCGTCAACTGATTTACCTCTACTCCCTAAAACTCCACATCCGAGTTCTGTGTTACTCAAGCAGTGACACCACGGAATACGACCTGTACTTCGAAGGCAACGGTGGTCAAACACCTGAAGCCAGCCTTCTCATGTCTTCCACCTTCAATGGCCATGTTTCACAGCCATAGTGTAGAACAGAACGGACTGATGTGCAGGTGCACTACACGCCACCCTTCACAGACAATCGGATATCATGGCGGCCCCTTAGGTGGCGTAAGTTAGCGAAAGCCAGTCGAGCGTTTTATATGCGTGCAGAGATTTCATCGGCCACTGACCGACCAGGACACGGCTGATCCCACTTCCCACGTAAGTGAAGTGGTCAACACAATCAACCACTTCACTCTCTATCGTTAGCCGTAGTTGAGCACTGTTGAAGACCAATCCTGGAGCAACAATTTGCATTTGGGTGGTGAGAAACGCATCCCAAACATCCTCAAATTGCCACTCAGTGTTCAGAAGACTCTGCGTCTTTTCAGTGTTTTCACTTAATAGGAGTATGTCATCTGACATTCGAACCAGCAACATCTGGGTTACCGACCTCGTACTCTACCAATCGAGCTACAAGCTCCAGTAGCTAACAAGGTTCAAACTTCATTTTAATTCGAAACAAATATTCTCAATAAGAAAGGCGCTCTAACATTCTATAAAAGGTTGCTTATTTTTCACATCAGTTGGAAGAGAAGATTGCAGAGAAGAGAGTGGAATGGAGACGTGCTACTGAATCCCTATGTTCCATTAGGAACCCAAGGGACTAATAGTAGTAGTAATAATCACCTCTGCAAATCTCAGTATGCATCCATGACTGTTTCTGCATGAAAGCTTTGAAAGATGATTGTGATGTGTCCCTATGTTATGTTTAGCTATAGATGAAGATGGTCCTCTCCCACCAGCGTTTATCACGATTTCACACTCCATTTGTTTTTGAAGCCATTTAGGTATATGTTCTCCCAACCTCAACTGCATGGGTCGATTACTCCCCTCTGTATATGTGTGACCACACACACACATAGTGGGACGTGGCGTAATCATTGATGCAGTGTTTCGGTTTGTGGTGAAGTGTATTTTGTTTGTTTCACAATGATATGATTAGCTGTGTAATATGTTTTCCTAACGGCTGATATAGCCTGCATCTCAAAATGATACTATTCAACTCCCACCTGTATGGTAGAGTGATATGGACGCTTTTCTTAAGGACCGTGTATAGAGTTGGCCTTGGTGCTACTTGACCTCTACAATGGTTTATAAACTTCAACGAATATCCATTTTCCATAAGTATTTTGATCAGTAATTTGGTATCTTCATCCATCATATATGATGTATAAATATAATGAATCGTATTAAACAAGCATTTTATGAAACCTCGCTCTTATTGGATTGGACAGAAACTGTTCATCTAGGCTTCGTGTAAACTGACCACCTTATTGAACCATCTTCTCATCGACTCAGGAGTATATCTAGCAACGACAGTAGATTATTATTCTTTTTCTCACAAGTCAACTCATTTTCAAGTTTTCTCAATATCAGTTGCATAAAGAAAAATATACTACTAATGAAGAAGTTGAGTTGTTAGGATCCACTCAAAATCATTTGTAGATTTAGTGGTTTGAACGCTGGACAGGTGTTTCGCTCGTTTAGGGGCTAAACGGTGTTCCTGGGGAAATTCTGTTCACAGTGCCGAATATAGATCAGATCAGCTAAATCCGGCTAACTATCTGAGTGCGCCGGGTATACTTAAAATGAGAAGATTAATTACTTTGTGGATGATTTATTGATAAATTTCACGCCCCAGCTACTTCAAGAAATATATCATAATAAGTAATATATTGTTTATTTGTCACAAATGAATTAATAATTAATTCAATAATAAAATGACAAAAAGGAAAACAATTCAATAAAACAAAATGTAAGAACTCTTCAAATTATCACTTTTCTATTTATACTACTCACTAAATATATAGTAGTAAGAATATAAAACTGAAAACAATGAATACAGGTCTCAGGTCACAGGTTGGAATTAAGGAACAACTATTCGCATCTATATGCGGATTATACTAGAGAAAGCATACTGATAGTAATTGACACGTTGCCATTTAACGTTATTGTGATACTCTATAATAAGATTAATTAATCATTTCATACATTGTTTTATTTGTAATACTAACCATTAACATCATTCATCCAAGATAAAGCTTAGACAGCAATATATACCGAATACACTGATAGTGTGTATTCACTGATTCATTGAAAAACTTCTCCACTTTTTATTAGAAATCAAAGTTGGATGAAGAGAGATGAAGAAAAATATGACTAAACAAGATCAGAATACGATAAAACACTAGAAAATGTTTTGATAAGAACAAAAGAAATTTCACTTTGAAACTAATCAGCAATGAAATACACTACAGAACAAGATGTTGACAAACTCAAGTGATATATTAACCATTGTGTTTCATTGATGAACAAGTAGAATGAGCAAAAACTGGAATATGGTTATGATGATACTACTTATAACATGGTACTAGAAAGTTAATCAGCAAAATTACAAAGTAAATGAGCAATTACTAATTTGAATAAAACAAATATATATATCTAGACACTAAAATGAATGAATAGAGAGAAAAGTTATACACTAACAAAGATTCAAGTCAGAACTGAAGGTGAAAAACTGACTGACCAACTTCCCTGTTGTTCATCAATTCAATCTAATTAGAGTAAAAATGTTTTTCCCCTTCGGTATAAACCCGATCACTGTTCATATAGTCTTATTTCTATGATAATGAAAGTTATTCAAAAGTGAATTTCGTACGGATAAACATAAGAAGAAGGCAAGGTATGTATGTGTATGTGTGCGTGCGTGCGTGTGTGTGTGTAGGTGTGGGTGAGTGTGTAGATAATCCAACTGTCAGACAGATGAGTGAGTAACAAATCAATAGGAATATCGTAATTATCACCAATCACTATGAATCAATGAAGTATTAGATTACTATTGTTAACAATTAATGGCATTATTGCACCATCCCCATCAAAAGTTGTCAGTTAATCAACCAATTAAACTTCTGGTTCCATAACTAATTGAGCTGGTAAACACATTTCAGGCAATTCTCCCAGTAAAGATTGTTGAAGTTCTGCAGCTTGTTGACGTAATTTATCCGGTGTCAAATTGACAACTATTAAATAAATTTGGATAATGTAATTAGAAGACGTAGATTATCTGAAAAATGTGATGTATTAGCGCTATACATTTCGAACAATCTGATCACACATTTACTTGTTAAGGCAATTTATATATGAAAACTGGAAGTGGGGGAAGGACACATATGACATAAAGGAATTCAATAATAAGAAAGATAATGAGAGGAATAAAAGATAAGACTTGAAGACAATCTTGGTAATACGATAAAATAAGCATTACCAAGGTAGGCTTAATGTAAGGACAAACTGTTTTTGCACACACAATGGGGGGTTAAATTTATTTATGGCTAGCGCCTCAACAAACTTAAGTGTACGCCCCTGACAGTTTCGGTACAAAATTGTAAAGGCTGTCTTGATATCAATTCTGTGACTCATCAATGATATGTTTCGCAATGTAATAACACATGCAATGTATCAGTTTCCTTATTATTAGTATTTATTATTTGTCCCTTGGGTTCCTAGTGAAACATAGGGCTTCAGTAGCACGTCTCCATTCCACTCTCTTCTCTGCAATCTTCCCTTCCAACCTGGCTCCACGACAGCCCGCAAGCTCTAATTTCCTCCTCAAATGATCTCTCCATGTCACCCTCGGACGCTCAACTTGTCGCTTCCCATCTGGGTCCCACTAGAGGGTCTGGCGCGTGATGTCCCCAGTCGGCTTTCTCACCAGTTTCCTTAATAAGTCTAAATAACTATCTACTGTTACCAATCGTCGCCGCCTTTTCCATCTCTTTAGCCTTCGCTGCCCACCACTGTTCGCGGTCGTTGCGTAGACTTTTTCTAAGTCTACTTTTAAGCTGTGCCCGCTCTTGATTGTACTCGGGGCCTGCAGGGATGCGTTTATGTGCATCCATTACTTTGGAAGAAGCTGCTGACATCCACTGGCTCTTTTTAAACAATCTTTCAGAGTCTGCTACGGTTTTCAGCGCTGCTTTTACGGCAATAAAAACCATCAGATCAACAGAATAAGGTAAGTAGTCATGCATAAAAGGAAAACAGAAAAGAAGAAAGTGCAGCACCTCGAGGTACAACAGCTTTAGTAAGCAATGAGGTGAAGTGCCCCTCTTGATAGACAGTATACCGTCCTATCTGTTTAATTTGTGTTACTGCTTACATTTCGAGGCTGGTGATTATGGTACAGAATAAATATTATTCATAAAACTGATCATTCGTAATCCATGATATCAATCTATTCACATAAAACTCTATTTAACCAAGCTTTTGTGACTGTTCATACTACATGAACACATTATATTTGGTCAGTCTTGATGAAATTCAAATCCCCTCTGTATATAAACACCATAGCCTAAGTTGTGTTACAATATTACCAAAGTTTTCCACTGATTTCGCGACTTCTTGACATACTTTTCAACTGTCAAACACAAATACATCTTAACAATCTGGGAGGAAGTCACTAATGAACACTATACAGTAATGTATTTTTGAGATGAATGGGGATTTTTTTTAGTCCAGAAGTAGTATTCATCATGAACTGATATCAGTTGGGGAAAGTCTGGGAGGACTGGACAGTTGTTTCGTCCTACTATAGGACTCGTCAGGATGATGCGTTTGTTGATTTCTGTGGATGACTTTGTAGTTGATGATGTACAGGATAGACATCTTCTGATAAGGTTTCGTGGGTAGCTGTTCTTCTTCAAGATGGACATCAAGTAATTTTATTCGTTTCTCCGTGAAGCTATTGTACTGCAGTGTGTTCTCGCTCTTCTGAATAGAGTCTGAACGCAACTTATCTTGTGCGTGCATCATCTACTACAAAGTCATCCACAGAAATCGACAAACGCATCATCCTACCATACATAAAGAATACATGGGAGATCACGACAAGATTACTGAAACCACTTGGAATTTATGTGGCTAGCTTATGAACCAACTAATTCCCTCCAAACCCAACTGTGCAGACCAAAGGATGAAACAACCAAACAAGACAGACAAACCGAATATCATTTACAAAACCAACTGGAATAACTGTAGTCAACACTACATTGGACAAAGTGTTCGCCCTCTTCACCTTCGTCTATATGAACACCAATTAGCTATTAAACGCTATGACATTTCATCACTCATTGCTCAATGCATGTGGATAACAACTATGGAGATGAATTGAATTTGGACAATGTAGAAATCTTGGAGGGAGAGAGGAAAGACAAAGAATTCCTAGAAGCTTGGCATTCAGGTTAGTCAGCAATCAATAAATGTATAGACATAGACCCAATCCATCAACCAATGAGAAAAATGATAAACGACAGAAAGGTGAGACGTGAAGCAGAGGAAACAAGTAATCACAACAAACCAGTTGGTTAGGGCAAGCTACTAAATCACTCACAGAGAGATATTGATAGCTCGCTTCATATTGAAGTTAGTGCTGATGATGTCACTGTCTAGGAAGACGATGAAATCTTCACGATTAAACAACCAATCTCAGAGAACACAATGCAGCCAAGATCATCCAACTGAGCTACAAATATTCTCTACTATTTCACAATTAGATTTATTTTCTTGATTAGTAGAATACAGCTTTGAAAATAAGTATATATTCTTCATTTCAGGTTTATTTTCAGTAAATCGATCTCTTTAAGCAACTATCATATCTTCTTCCTAATAGAACGTCTACTTCGTGGATGTTCTAAGTTATTTTCAGTTTCATTAATATAAGTCAAAAACTTGGGCACTGTGGTAGAATGTAGTTCCATATTAGATTTGTTTATTTGATATAAAGCGCACAGTGATACAGTATTATTTACTTGATTACGTTTCGAGCATAAATTATTACTGCTCATAATCATATCAATGTAATCACACTTTTTTCGATATCTGATTTTATAGTCCTGTCACCTGATCTCTCTTTGTTTTTTGTTTTTTGATTGGTAGTAAAGTTTTCCATATCTCTGGTATAGGTGTTGCGTCATTCCTATTACATGTGTTGGGTGTGGATTCGATGAACAAAGATTCAGTAATTAATCTCTCTCTCTCTCCACCTAGCTATATTAGACTTAAGTACAGTGGTTTTGTGTTGTGGTTGTGTGTTAATGAATGTAATGCAATGGCCGAGTATTTTTCTAGGTTATTGATCTTATTGGGGTCTGCTGTTCTATGTTTAGCTAAATTCCTATGTTCTGTTAATCTAACTGACCCCGACCGGCTAGTTTGACCTATGTATTTGACTTCACAGTCATTACATGGAATTTGGTAGATTCTTTTATTTTGCTTAATTGGTTCTATCGGATCTTTTAGCCGACAAAGCTTACCTCTAGGTGAGTTTGTTGGTTTAAATGCCACCCTAATTCTAATCTTGTTGAGAATCAATCCTACGTATGGTTTCTGATGTTCCTTCCTTGTATGGTATCACAATAGAGGTGTTGATTTCCTTTCTACTTATGTTGTCACTATTATTTGTATTTGTATTAGTGTTATTATTTTGCTTCTTATGCGTCCGTGTGAATTTCTTGATAAAATGATGGGGATAATTATTAATTATTAACGCTTCTTTTATGTGTTTCAATTCCTTATTTAAGTCCTTACAATGACTAGTGAGTTTCTCAGCTCTGTTATTTAGACATTTGACTAAACCCGCTTTAACTGACAGGTCATTAATGACCTGCACATAGAAGAGGATGAAAAAATGGTTAGTTTTGACGTAACAAGTCTTTATACTAAAATACCAATCAATATGGCACTGGAGGCAGTCAGAAATCAACTAGATACTGACTCACAACTTACTCAAAGAACCAAGGCATCGGTTGGTGAAATCATGTTAGGAGTGCAGTTATGCTTAACCTCGACAGTCTTCAAGTTTCAGGGAAAGATTTATAGACAAACAGAAGGAGTAGCAATGGGATCACCAATATCCCCTATAGTAGCAGATATATTTATGGATAGTTGGGAAGATATGGCTTTACGAACATATAATCCGACACCTAAGATATGGTGGCGATATGTAGATGACACATTTACAGTGTTGAAATCGGAACATATCGACAGTTTCTTGACACACATAAACTCAGTAGTTAACGCAATCCAATTCACTACGAAGTAGAAAATGAACAAGGAGAATTACCTATGTTGGATTGCAGAATAAAACGAAGGATAGATGGTGGTTTAGATACTACCGTCTACAGAAAACCAACACATTCTAACAGATATCTAGACTTCAAGTCATCTCATCCAGTGTCAGTTAAAGCGGGTTTAGTCAAATGTCTAAATAACAGAGCTGAGAAACTCACTAGTCATTGTAAGGACTTAAATAAGGAATTGAAACACATAAAAGAAGCGTTAATAACTAATAATTATCCCCATCATTTTATTAAGAAATTCACACGGACGCATAAGAAGCAAAATAATAACACTAATACAAATACAAATAATAGTGACAACATAAGTAGAAAGGAAATCAACACCTCTATTGTGATACCATACAAGGAAGGAACATCAGAAACCATACGTAGGATTCTCAACAAGGTTGGAATTAGGGTGGCATTTAAACCAACAAACTCACTTAGAGGTAAGCTTTGTCGGCTAAAAGATCCGATAGAACCAATTAAGCAAAATAATATAATCTACCAAATTCCATGTAATGACTGTGAAGTCAAATACATAGGTCAAACTAGCCGGTCGGGGTCAGTTAGATTAACAGAACATAGGAATTTAGCTAAACATAGAACGGCAGACCCCAATAAGATCAATAACCTAGAAAAACACTCAGCCATTGCATTACATTCATTAACACACAACCACACAATAGGATGGGACAAAACCACTGTACTTAAGTCTAATATAGCTAGGTGGAGAGAGAGATTAATTACTGAATCTTTGTTCATCGAATCACCACACCAACACATGTAATAGGAATGACGCAACACCTATACCAGAGATATGGAAAACTTTACTACCAATCAAAAAACAAAGAGAGATCAGGTGACAGGACTATAAAATCAGATGTCGAAAGAAGTGTGATTAC